CGCAACGTTGAATTATGTGCGGAGGTTGTGCAATATTGAACTGTGACTGTTGCGTAATTACGCAACAAGAAAGAAAGGAAGGAAAGAGATGTTCTTACGACACACTAAGAGAGGTGGGTCGTAACATAGATGAAAACAAGTATTTGATATGTTACATATTTCAAACTACAGCCATTTTTTTATGCTTACCTTCTGATGCTCCTGTTCCACGTATGTCAACTTTAGCTACCTTAAATAAAATGAGAAAATTACAGTAGTTTACACACAACTTAATACGTCTTACTATGTATCCTCTTCTAGAAAAATACCAGAAATCTCGATAATGATCAAAATAAAAACTATCATCTTTTCGATAGGGTAAATACTCTAATAGAATAGGAAATCTTTCATTATATCTATGTGCTGTTGGAATGCCTAATGTCGCTGATAATCTAATACCATCTGCCATAGTTAGCCAAATAGTTTCAAATGTAAAATTATAAATGGGTTGAGACCACGGTAAAGAAAAAGAGTAGGTAGTCGTTAATGGAATCAAAAATAATAAACAGCTGACGGTAGAATACCACATTTTTCAATGTCGTTGAAAACACTTAGGGTGTGGTATGTTCGTCGCAAACAGATTTTGAATATTTAAATAGTGTCATCGTTCATAAGACTCTGTAAATAGCAGTGTGACCTTATTATGTGATTTGATATATGATCGTAGAAAATGACAACGATTTAAAAGACAACTGCTCTTTTCTCGTTTCTTATTTATCATACTTTTCAATGCTGTCTAGCCTTTCATGAGCCATCATAAATATAAGGTCACCTCGACGTTTCTCAATTATTTATAATATTTTAAACTCGACTTATTTAAACTAAAGAAATTTTATTTTACAACCGCTTGTAGAAAAGATCAAGCCTCGTAATCCTAAACTGGCTCTTACTACTCGCGCAGTCCTCGAGACTGCCTTTCTGTAACTTTTCCTTTAGCATAGTTGAGAATATATACGCCAGACGTCACCGAAATAATAAAGGTTACAGAAAGGCAGTTTCGAGGACTCGCGCCAGTTCAGATACTAAACGCTTTTAATGTGTCTTACCTGATTTGCTGTATTTTGATTTCGAAGCTGATGCATTCCTATCTCATGTCTGTACGAATTAATTAGAAGCCGTCTCTCTGTCCGCAGGGTCATCTGATCACCATCACTACTCTACTCTTCAACGTCTCTTATCATATTCTCTTCCTTAATCATATTCCTCTGCAACTGACGATCAATCTTTTTCTTCCTCGCTCCAATTTTTCTTTCATTTTTGTGTGTCTCTCTGTTAACTTTTCTACTCATCCGCTCATTAAGACTCTTCTGCAGATTGATACAATGTGATCCATTGGATCGCGATTTCGATCTGTATTAAGATTTTCTTTTTCAAATAAAGTTTATACCAAGTTTCCAAGGCTTGAGCTTTTCTGTAAGGAAAATCTAGTTGTAAAACAAAATTTAATCAATTATTCTTTCTGTCAACGTTCGTATTTCTTTCGTTCTTTTGTTTGGACATCGAATCAATATCATTTTTAAATTTGACTATGGCTACCCAGGTCAATGAATCTTATTGTATTGAATATGGAATTGAATCACTATGAATTGAATTATCGAAGAAAACCGCGGTTTTTTTAGGTTTTCGCGATTTTTTTTGTGTGCACTTCGATTATTAATAGTCCAGTTGGATTCTTCGTGCTAAGATCTATCGATTGGTGTGTCATACATGTACTTGCACGCGCATTATAGCGCAAAGTCTCGTAAAACGTTTTCTGCGTCAAAGAACGTAAGTTGTTTCTCGAATATCTCAACCAAAATGAATCTACTAGTTGGGAAATTTTTACCACAGACTCAGTACACGATGGGGAATAAGATCTACGTTTCAGATTTTTTCTAGATACACTTCCGTTGTTTTAACCAATTGTACAAAAAAATTACGATTCGCTCATATATACGCCGTGTGTTGTCAAGGGAAAACAGGAGAAAGAAGAGGAAGTGAACATTGTTTTTATTTGGGTAAGATTGGATTTTTTTGTTTGTATAATGTTGTAGTGTGAAACCACTTGTCGGTGACACAGTTTTAGTTGCATGCGTTATTTTGAATAGTATTTAAAAATAAAGTAATCTTTGAAGAATCGTTTTGGTCACACTGTCGTTCAGAATTCGTAGACGACCATTTCTATGTATCATTATTATGAATATTAAAATCTTAAAAATGCCAGAGTGCTTTAATGAAATGAAGTTTTCATAAAAATGACCGCGATAACTGTTATTGTTCAACAACATATAAAATATTTAATGAAAACTTAAACAGAACATCTTTAAAAAGCCGAATCTCCAATATTATCAAAACGCTGACTGAAAACACGTTGAAACAAAGGCAGATGATCCTCGTATATCCGTCATATTAAGTCCAAGTCTTTTGTCTATTAAATCTATTAGGTTGAATTATTGCCATTGATATGGATGTTGACTATTGGTGAGTTGAATAACTTTTTATTCCACCATTTTACTTTCATTTTTTTAAGGCATTAAAATTTGATTATTAGTAGCAAGTTTTGAACTTGCTAATCAAATTTAGTGAAGTTTCTCAAAACAAGTTAGGTTTTTATTTTATTTTATATTTAAAATTCCCAAACTGTTTCATAAAACTGAGTATAATTACTGAGTAGGAATAACTTTCCTATATATTTACAGCTCGCTAGGAAGCCAAATCAAATTTCAACAATTAATCAATCAGTGTGTTCTCTGACCTATCGTGTTCTTTGTGTAAGAATCACCTGTAGGCGGCTCAAATGTCGAAGGCTCACGTATCGGGAGGCGTAAATACCAGGGGCTCAAATGTCAGAGGCTCACTAATCGACCTAATCTAGATATTACACTAGTCACATCATCCAACAGCACTGTCATTTGTTTTGCTTACTTGAAAATATCGAGATTCGAACATCAGAACTTATGTTTGCCACTCTGTGACTGTAACTACATTTTAAAATGATTTTTAAATGTTTCATGGCACATACATATTACGTACTTCAAACCTTATTTGATTAGAAAAACTTGCTATTGAACTCGGCGGTAGACCGAACATTTCTACACGCTCACATAAAAATCTTTTGAAAATCTCCGACCAGTTTTGAGGCAGCGAAGGTCGTTGATTGTGGCATCGGGATCCTGCCGGGTCCAACATCGGAACATGTTGGAAGTTGTCGGAATTCGGTAAAATCCGGCAGCAACCATGCCGGATTATGCCTGAAATCCGTTGCTCGGAATCCGTGCCGGAAGATGTCGGGAAAGATCCGACCGGATCCGACATCTGCCGGTATCTTCCGATCGATAAATCAGATTTTGCTGGATGTGGCAGAATAGGACCAGTTTCGAGATTAAAAATAGTCTTCAACTTTTCCTTTCATTCTCTCGCGGAAAATCAAGGTCTCTCTTGTCTCTCATTTTGAAGAAGACACACCGACCTGTCAGTTCATGGAAAGAAATCAATATAATCCTTATAAAACTTTAAATTATTTAGATTTTCGAAAATTAGTTTTCTGCTAAAACGGCTACCGCGCAGCCAAAACGCATTATATTACAACCACTTTAAGGTAATTTGTAGCACTCATAATGACGTTATTGTTAATGTGCTCAGTGGCAATGACCTAAATCTAGAATAAACAATAAAGAAAACTCTAACGATCTACAAATTGTTAACCACAGCAAAGCTGAGCTTTATGTGATTTTAATGATCAAATTAGAAATATTTTTGGCTTGAAAATTCGTTTAATACACAACAGAAAAGCCGGACTCTTCCAAACATAAGCTGATCCATGAGATCGACACAAGCATTTTTATGCGATTCTAAGAATACAGTCATTCTCAGTATTGCTGATATAATCGGACATTTTTGCATGTTTTTCTGGGAAAGAAAACCTTCGAGTTACTAATGGAGACCCCAGATCCAATATTCGAACTTATGTTTCATACAATAGGATGAGGAAACAATAAGATTTCTTAAATAATACCCCTCATCAACTGATTAAGTTACTGTCCGATTGGATGCCTCCTGCTTCGAGTTATCTTCAAGAGAAAGTTACGAGTAACTTGGGCAGCAACTCGAAGTAACTTGATAATTACAACTTTATTTGGCAACTGGTAACTCAGTAGTTACCCTTACCAAGTAACGGCTAACTTGATGGTTACTAGTTATAAAAGAACAGTACGGTAATTTCACATTCCCAAGTGTAAAATATGTAAAGCCAAAAATTGATGCGTCTAGGTTAGAAAAAACTTTCCAAACTTCAAATATGTCATCGGAATAAACGAAAGGATGCTTCTACTGCACTATGAACTTAGAAAATATGAAACTTGCGGTCAGCATTGTCAGATATAATATTCGTACTGGAATAATCTTTGTCTGTGAGTTTGCGGTGGCGTTCTTTTTCGGCAATAAGTCATATACAAAAAGTAAACGAGTTACTTCTCGTCGTGCACTCAAAACAGCTCCATGAGCATAACCATATGACTCTACACTTGTTGCTTCGCCAGCAAAAAGTAATTGGTTCATAATCGGTTGAGCTAAATATGTCGGATATTCGTATTTCTGATCAACAGAAACATAAGAATATGAACCATTGGAAAATGGATCCATTTTCCAATATGTCATATAACTGTCAATCGGTACAGGCACAGTTCGATTGAACATTTTCATCAAAGTTTTCCGAATTTCTTCAATTACTTCATCTTTTGTAAGTGTTGTTTCCAGTCTATAAGCTTCTTTTCCAACAAAGTAACAAACTAAAGCTGGTTTATCGTTCCATTTATTAGCGTTAACCCAATAGCCGAATTCGTTCGGTTTTGAAGATATGCGCATAAAGTAGTAGTCCGTGGAATTCCACCACGCTTCATTCCATAGAAGAACTGCTTTATCTAGGGTGCCAAATCCAAGTTTATCTATTACATCCAACTTCCATTGAGGAAGCGATGGTACAAATTGAATTCGTCTTGATTTTAACACTCCTAACGGTACAGTTATAAGAACATACTCTGCCTTGTACACTTCGTCATCCATCGTTGTAACCTCGACTAAGCCATCTGATTTATTATAATAAATTTTCTCTACGATCTTATTGAGGTGAATATTTGTACCTTTAGCAATGTAATCGATCAGTGACGAATAACCTGTTTCATGGAATACATGTTCTTCACCATAGTGAATGGACGTGACATCGAGAAAACCTTTAGCAGCTATTACATCAATTTCCGCTCCTTCATAGCTTTCAATTCCAAAATGAAGATAGCTAAAGAAAATGTGGCGTTGTTCTTCAGTTAAATTTTTTTGATCTGCAAAGGAATTTGCGTAATATCGAAGAGTTAAATTCGCTTGCATGTTTAAATTCTTCGTTACGTCTCGCATATAAGTTAGATATTCTTCGTACCAAACCAAATAATCTTTTGAATCTATGTTATCGTTTCCACTGGGATAAAATGCAGTCATATCGCTTTGCAATGTTCCTCTTGTTGGAATTTTTGCTTCTTGAACAATGTCCCATAATGGATTGGTCCACAGTCCAGTTGGAATAGATCCATTAATACCATGAATCCAGGCTGCACCCATATCAAATATGTAATCATTTTTTGCACGAATCGACCACACTCGGCCACCTACACGACTTCTTCCTTCTAGAACTATTGTTGGTATGTCATTTTGCCGAAGTAGTCGAGCAGCTTCTAATCCAGATAGACCAGCACCAATAATTAACACTTTTGTAGTTGTATTTGAATAGGAAAGTGTTTTTTGTGAACGACTCTAGAGAGAGGAATCCACTGAAATTTTTTTACATCTTCTAGTAGAGTATATTTTGGGTTACCACAACCCAGCTATGCGCCAGTACCAGTATTTATACTGGTATACTAAGGCAGGATTTACTGGATACCAGAGCCCTGCAGGTTGCCAATATTTGGCAACCTATAACCTAATCTATAAAAAAATTCACAACCTAATCCTAGCCTAACCATTGAAAAAAAAAATAGACAACCTATAACCTAACCTAGCCTATAACTTTTGCAACCTAATCCTAACCTAATCTATAGCTTTTGCAACCTAATCCTAACCTAACCTATAGGTTAGGCTAGGTTAGGTTAGGTTAGGATCAACCTGCAGGGCTCTGCTGGATACCCAAATAGTTTGATGACCAAACTGTTTGGTCACCCAGTATACTGGGCACTCACGTAGTTTGGGGATCTTAGCAGAAATTTTTGGTACAAAGGGATATTGTTAAATGTGGGTATTTGTAGATTAATATGTTTCTAGGCTTTACAGAAATTATGCCCTTATGCTATACAAAATGTAGCATGGCATCTAATACAGTAATAGAATAACATACCTACTTACTTTGTTTCACATCCTCAAATAATTTCCTATAAATAACACTTAGAGTCATTTACTCTGAACTCGTAGTACATAATCTAAGCAGTTTTTCAGGCCTTTTTATTCAGCTCCGGTTATCTTGTTCCCTTTTGATGGCATTGTTTTCCATTTTCCAAGTTTGTGCTAGGCATGCACTAGTTCAAAACTGGTGTTGGGGCTTTCACGAAAGTTGTTATAAAGCGCCTATAAAGGATTACTCAGAGTAGCCGAATGTCTCATTTTCTAGAGAAATGTTTGGACTACAATTCCATATAAGCACAAAAAATTTGAAATTATCTGTGATACAAATATGAGCATTCTAAAATATACTAAATTCAGAAAAAAACTGTTCGAACAGTTTTTTTCTACTTTAGTACGTTTTATGTGAATGCTCACATTTCTGTTAGAAATAACTTCAAAACTTTTTCACAGCTGAGTTTTCTAGAGCATAAGCGCATAATTTCTGTAAGGACTAGAAACATATTAATCTACAAATACCTACATTTAACGGTATCTCTTTGTCTAGGTATCAAACGTTTCTGATACAATGCCCAAACTATGTGGCTACTCAGTATACTGGGTGATCAAACTATTTGGGTACCCAGTATACTGGCACTGATGCATACCTACCAGAGCTTCGTACTCAAATTTTTGAGTCCAGTCCAGTCCATGGATTAAAAAAGCCTAGTCCAGTCCAGTCCGAGTCCATAAAAAACAATTTTTTTAGTCCAGCCCAGTCCATGGACTCTAGAAAAGCAGTCCAGTCCGAGTCCATTAGATTGAGTAAATAGTCCAACGGACTTTGCAAACTTCTGTATGCTCTAATCAAAAATAAGTATTAAATTAAAAATTATATAAAGGGTGGACTAGAAGTCCTGTCTCATTCAGTATTTTCTCAATATCTGAGTCAAGATTGATCGCCAAGTCTCAAGCTTTTATAAAAGAAGCCTCATTCAGTTCTCTACACAAAACATATTGAACATTTTCTTATGTACTATAAGAATAAAAAAATATAAAGGAAATAGGGGAAAGCTTCAATATCGATTACTTTCAAACCGAAAAAACAGGTTTTTCAATGTCAGTCACTTATATTTTGCGATATGGAAAAAGAGAAAATGGTCATTTTGTAGTTCTCGAAAAGCTCTATCAACTGGCTATATTTAAGACTCTTCATAGGCTCAAGCGATCGCGGGAGATTTTTCTCTTTTAGGGATTTTGCCCCAAATCATCATTTTCTAACCGCAGTTTTGTAACACTTAGGCAAAGTTGTGTGATTTGGTCCAAATCATATATTATGACTTTAGATCTGGTTTATGTTGAAGTAAAATGGTTTTTCTGTTTCATCCGAACAGAGAAAGTCGAATAGCCCCCTTTCGTTTCCTGTGCCAAGGCGAAGAAATCAAACTTTCCCCTCTTTTTTTACTTTTAGTAAAATCTTTGTTTGTGACAGAAAAAAAGGTTTATAGCGAATTTATGATACAAGAAAAGAAAGTTGATACTCTGGAGTCAGTTCTTATTGCTAGGGTCTTTCAATAATATATTTTTCTCATCGTAATCATCAGTATACACTGTATTATTTATCTTTACTCACATAATGATAGTACTCTTGGAAATGGCCAGAAGTTACAGTGAATAGCACCAAAAGTCGCACTATGTGAATGATCATCGTTTGCTCAGTAAATGTTTCTTTTACCACTTGTATCAATTACTGGCTTTGCACCTAAAAAATGTTATTTGTATATACGCTTGTTTGCTTTGAGATCGGTAACACACTAAAGAAACGTTATGTAAGCTTTCAACAGTGAACAAAAACAACGGTAGCCCAAGTTAGAGATGAAGAATGTCAGAGCATCTTACTGACTTCTCTTTCTCAAAGTAAAGAAAGACTTAAGTTTGTGGTTTAATTCCTCAAAAGTCGACTGCCATTTTGATCGATATTACCTGCTGTATAATTACTTCTCAACAAAAAATATTCTCTTAAAAAGTAAAAAATTTAAAAAAGTATTCTGATAATGAGCAACATAAAATTATAACACTTCAAAGCGACGGTGTTGTCCCTTTTCTTTAGAAAAATCCAAACAGATAAGGGGCAAACATTGTTTTCAGTTCTACTTCTTTTAACATGAGTTGACTAATAAAACAGATTGTGACTTTAAATCATGAGTTTTTGTTGAAAATGAAACAAAAAATTGAATTATTATGACGTATCAGGGGCAGTTGTGAAACATGAAACGACTCTTCCGCAAACTTGAATCATATTTTAAATACTCTGTTTCTGTAAAGCAGGAAAGCTTCCATAACATCTGACATTGAAAGCCGGGAGCAGAAGCACAAGACGTGAGAATGAGCTACCAAGTGATAATATTTCCTTATGGAGACGATATTGCATTATGGTGAGAAGTTGATCAGTGAGATACTACGTAGCTTGTGGAAGAGTCAGTGAATCGTTCTCTAACACTGGCCAGTTTCAGAAGCCGTTTGAGATTACAGCGATTGGAGTCTGTAGAACTTGTGTTTCATATAAACGTTAGTACTTGTAACAAATGCTGATTAATTTAGAACGTTTTGAGCAAATGAAGTGTTTTAAAGGGTTCAGAACTAACTCATTTGTCAAAAACCATTGGCATCCTTCGCTCAAGCAATTTTTTAAGTGAGAGATAAAAATATTTTTGAATAATATGAGGGTGGAATTTATGAGATTGCAGAGAAAATGATCGAAGTACAAAGTTAGGATGAATTTTTTTCTTGTGAAAACGCTTGTCAAATGCATCATCTTCCAGTGCAGTTTCTCCGTAGATATTTGTTAGACTACGTCTTTGCTAGTATTAGTAGCAGGGCTTTGAAGGAAAAAATGAGCACTTGGTTGCCTTTTGTTATCAAGAAAATCAGACAGCGGCCAATATGTCACTCTCGCAGCAAGGCTTTGAAAACATTTTTCCGATGATAATTTTAGAAGTTTTCTTGTAAGACAGATCTCGGAGATAGGGGAGAAAGTTACTATAATAGTAACCAAATCTCGATAAAATTACACCTAGATGGATTGTTCCAGATTACTTTATATTTTTTACTGTAACAAGCGCATGACAATTTCACAAAAGAAAGCGAATTCAAAGGAAAAAGTACGAATATAAGAGTTAATGTAACTCTATTGGTGTTTCTCAAATATTATAATTCTAAAATGATGTTTCTGGACGATTTCTTAAATAAGCCGCTACTTTTGGTTGTTTTGCAACTTCTTCACGATTTCGTTTTAACTTTGGATATTTTTCTAATACATTTTGATCAATATCCAATAAACATTGAGAGACATCATAGAAACTTAAATCAGCCCATGTTAATGAATTTCCGACAAAATACGGTGCACCTTGACCATAAGAACTTTGTAATGTATCTAAATCTTTTAATTGTTTTGGTAAGTCATCTGTTATAAATCTTTTCATTTCTATTTGCTTTTTACTTTCATCTTCTTCGAAGATTAATGGTCCTAATTTTTCGGCAGTTTCGGCAATTGTGTCGATAACAGCATCAGTTTTGGCTTGCTCTAAATTATCCTTGCCAGCTAAATTAAACTGTTTGGCTACAAAACGTGCTATTGATAATGATTGCGGAATTTTTTGGCCGTCCACCTCCAATACTATGGATTGTCTAAGTATTACAAAGTTACAACGCGAGGAAAGTAGCCGAATCTGTAGTTCATATTTTGAATTTGAAAACAGAGGAGTGAAAAAATTAGAAACGCAAGCTGATTAACACTCAAAAGAAGTGATATGCGAACAGCTCACTGGCATTTGCCCTAAGGGCATCTCATTTTTATGTACTGGCCAAGCATCATCATCATATCGGATATCATCAAATTTCTGTCCAGCTGCAGCAAATATTAAACGTGTGATTTCACCACGACCACGACCATTGAAATAATATAACTTGTACTCTGACATGGTTTTGCTGTTCGCACCTAAAAAGTCTGTTGTAAAAAAGCTATCAATCTAGTGATAAAAGGCTGTAGAAATGTATATATACATCGCGCACATAAAACAAAAATTTTCTTATGTCAACATTACACCGTCGTTTGTCTTCATTCAGGTGTGCGTGTACTTCTTTCCTGTGAGAGAACATCCGTTTGGAAAGAGTGCTACTATCTCTGGCGGCTATCTCTCGGGCTCTGGTAGTAAAAATTGTAGTTTTACCGGCCGACCTTTTCCCACTTTATTAACATTTCTGATGGATGGCCTTTTGTGTAGAGGAAAATAGATACTGAACGGCAGTTTATCCTTTACTATCAATATTTGTTTTTATAAGGTCCGTAAAAAAGCCCTTTTCTGTGCTATTAAGATCAGAAACATGTTTTTATGTGTTCTCTTAAAACGAAGCATATAGTTACAGGTGAAAACTATCCTCTTTAAATAAGTATATAGAACTTATGCGTCTGATTATTCATATTATACGGCTACTTACAATATAATATCTATAATATACTTGTAACAAAATGAAATACATCGCCTCACCTTTTTGTAACTATCTCCTTATCTTCAAAAATACAACTTTTAAAATGACGGTGTTGTCCCGTTTCTTTAGAAAAATCCAAACAGATCTACTTGCTCCAACATGAGTTGACTAATAAAATATTGTGTGTGTTAAAGATTGTGACTTTTTGTCATAAGTTTTTGCGAAAATAATACAAAAAAGATTGAAACATTATGACGTTAACATGCTCGACACACGTCCATTTTTCTAAAGAAACGGAACAACACCGTCATTTTAAAAGTTTTGTTTTTTATAAAAGATAACAAGATAGTTACAATAAGGCGATAGACCCTAGTAGGTTTATTTCATCTAAAATTTCATTTTCTAAATCTTAAAATGTAACTATTCATGTTGTAGAAGTGAAATAGTACGATAAAAAACGTTTTTTCTAGTTTTTTTACATCTCGTATAATATGGTCACTTTAAGAGTATTCTGAACCAAGTGATCATTTGGACAAAAGCTGTCAAGCTAAACAATAGTGTTTCTGGTTGCTGACGGCGCTAGTCAGTTTTGCTGAAAATTTGGTACATGCATTATTTTTCATTTTCAAGATCATGTTCTTTCAGGTTAGCATGCATGCATCTCGCATCTTGCATGTCACGCGAAAAGACATTCAATAATTTAATGTATTATTAATATTTTCGGATCCATTGTATAAACAGAGACAACTGAGAACTGTTTTATTTAACGTAGATTTCTGTACTATTTGTGGTAATTTTCGTGAGCCCAGAGTAAATGGTGATATACAAACGAAATTATGTTTCTGTTCAATTATTTTTGATATTTATCGAAAATTCATCATAATAATCATTTTACGGCGCATATTCAATTTGGTGAACTGACACTCCTGTCCTTCGACAAAACAACACCTTTATCGCAAATATTCGCCATTTGTTTGGCATATTATTACGTTTTTGATATGCATTTTATGAAAAAACTGTTCAGTATTGTTATTGTTATTAGATTATTATTGAGTCAACAGTGAAGATGAATATTTTAAGAAATTAACAACTGATGCGCAAGAACTTGTATCATTGTTTGCAAAAGAAACAATTTTTTTTCGATTTACATTAATTTTAATCTTTTTTGATTTAATTTCTTTTTTTGTCCTTACTGAAGGGAAAAGATTTTTGATTAAAACTTTTATGTTTGTTGCAGTTGGAACATTTTTACTTCATTTTTGTTACACGACACTTGTAGACTTTCTTTTGTTATGATTGAAACTTTTGTTTCTTTTATCAATATTCAATATTTTCATCTGTATAATAAAATGCTGACCATTCAGAAATCAAGAAAATGGGGAAAATTTTATCGAAATTGCCAACAAGAAGCTAATATCACTCCCATGGAGCGTCAACTAGAAACTTGGTACTCCCAGCAACTGTTTGGGAGTGTCAACAAGAAGCTATTGGCACTTCCATCCATAACACTTTGGGGGAAGTGTCAATAAGAACGTCATCTGACATATGAGCTACCCGACGTTTGAGCTTTCCTCAAACTATACTTTGATTCGCAAGATTCTGATTGCATTTTGACGAGCATCTCGCGCATCGGGGAGGTGGGCAGTACGAGTCTTTTAAATTTATTTTTTAAAATTCTCAGAAACCTTTTAAATTTACAGTATACTTAAAATTAAAAAATAAAAGTATGTTTCTTTCTGCTCACTTTTGGCTGATTTATTTATAATTTAAAATGTATGAACTGTTGATGAGAAGTATGATTTACGGTATGAAAAAAATTAAAAAAAAGTTCTTTCTCCTTTTTCTTGTAGTAGTGCAATCAGAACAATATAACCACGCGACGGTATTGCTGGTCTTTTGTTCTTTTCATCGATCTCTCTATAATAATTTAATACATACGTAGAATAATTCAATGTATAGGGATGCTGTTTTTCATTTCATAAAAGAAAGAATAATAAGTAAGGCCCACAAGCTTGATAATCCCTTAACTCTACACTTTTTTTCGAACAAAAGTAGTTAAAAAGAAATCACATACTTCGATGGGGATAGAGATATTTTCCTACGATCAAGATCGTTTATACTCATGTGCATCCCTATAAGCGTTTTCTAAGCTTTGTAACCTTGCTATATGTCCCTAAAGTAGTCTATACACTTTCGTATGTCCATTACCACTGTAAACCGCCACATATTTGAGAGCACGTTTCTATATGCGTCTAGAGTTTGACGGCTAGCAACCCATATTCACATTCTATAACTGTCTTTAGCCTTTCAGATTTACATTCATTGTCTTGTTCAGGGCACTAAGGACGCGGAAAACAATCTAAAGCCATTTAAGTATCTCTAAACACTCTTTTGCCGTTATAGGCTGTTAGTGTACTATAGAATGTTTCTTTGATCTTATGCTGTGCTATACAGCCTATATGCATCTCTCAAATTGGTGCACTCGTACTGGTACTCTGAGATAAGGGACTATGCACATCGGAGGATCACTCTCAGCAGTTTAGTCAGTGTATCTCTATCAAAAGTAGAGGATTGCATTACATGGTTTTTAAGTCATGGCCTTTAGACCCAGAAAGGAGGTAAAGTCGCGTTTTGCCAATAACCTAAAACCAATAAAACTAAAACTAATTGGTGAATGTCTCGACGATATTCGCCAGTACCCATCTTCAGTATTCCATTGGATAGTTCTTATTGAATGTTTGAAAATAAGAGACTAGCACTTCGCGCACGGACTAATTTCTTCGCTCGCCTCTTTCCTTCTTTCACAGGTGTGTATATGCGCATTTTTCTGCTCTGAATAGTTCCTGATATCAAGATTGCGAATGTTCACACAACATTCGCCCATTAGTGAATGTCACGGGTAAACATTCGTCAATTTTCATGGACATTCTCTAATTGACGATGCCTATTGGCGAACGGCGACAAATCCAGAAAAGATGACTGTTTTTATTCTGCTATTTGCGTTTATCGTTCTATCTAGTTCTATGTTACAAGTCATGTTGTTGAAAGTATAATGATTTTTTTTGCATTTTCTACCCTATTGCTTGTTGATCACCGTATTTTATACTTTTCTTACACTCAACAGATATGCTGAATCGAAGATAAACGTTACTGGTATTATTGAAGATCTACATATGATAAAAACTTCATCTGGATCGGTAATATCTTCGGTGGTCGATTATCATAAAACTGTTTAAATAGCGTATAGAAACTTCTAGTAACAAATCAATCGAACAATAATAAAATCCTTTGACTACTTATTTCATTCATTCATCCTTCGTACAAAGCAATGTGTAAATAAATTCCAGTTAGTTTTGTCTATATTGATCATATTCCATAAAGATATTTACTTATACAAATATAGACTCGAAAAAATGACAAAACCTTTTAAAATAATACCATTTGTGATTGGTTTGATGATATATACATGTACCATTACATATTTAAACTATACATACTTTAAAGGAAAAACATATCAATTCTCACTTTCAACAACACTCAAAAATTATTCTTACATCGCTATTATTGTTGAACTTCGTTCATTACCCGTAACGATAGCTGTCATACATAATATTATCTCTCATATACCCTATGAATGGCCTATACTAATATTTCATAGTGAACAAAATTTGAATTTTATAACTAATTCAACACTTCAGAAATATATCCAGAGCCACAAAATTTCATTAAGACAATTGGAAAAACTATCTACAAATAATACAGATGATTATCGTGTTTGGCATCGATATTGGAATACATTATTTACAAGTAAAACATTTTGGTTAAATATACCCGCTGAAAAAATTCTTGTTTTTCAAACAGATACAATTATGTGTTCTAATTCACCACATCATATAGAAGATTTTCTACACTATGATTATATTGGTGCACCATGGCATTTAAAATTGAATTATCCTCAACTAGGTGGTAATGGTGGTTTTTCATTAAGATCAAAAATAAAAACATTAGAATTATTAGAAAAATTAAAATATGATTACTCACTTAATGAAGATGGATTTTATAGTCAAAATTTATATTTAGTTAATGCATCATTACCGACACGTGATATAGCTAAAACATTTTCTGTAGAAACAGTATTCTATCCAAATCCAATGGCTATACATTTAGAAAAAGGATTTGATGTTAATGAAGCAAAATTATTATGTTTTAATTGTCCAGAAATACAAATGATAGCACTCAATAAAAACTATTGTTGATATCTTGTTAAAACACATCCACTAGTCTAGGTATAAAACTCCTCCAATGATACCGTTATATATCACTTTCTAATAACGTATTTTCAATTATCGAACACTCAATGCCTATGTTGTTTAGCACACTACCGCCGTCATTTCAAAAGATATTTCGTTTGGCAGTGTAACATTTGTAACGCATGTTCAACAGACGACCGCGAACTGACAATGATGCCATTTGACAGAAACTACTCATTGGTCTCCGATTGCAGTTTTTTGAAAAAAAAATATTTTAAGTAGGATTTGAAGTAAAAAAAGACAAATAGATTTTTCAAAAATCGGTGACACGTAGATTCTCGAAAATCGGTGACACGTCATCTCGGGTCAAAATCCAACTTATCAAGCATCGAGCCTCTGTATCAAATTCCCATTCTACTGAAAAACTGAAATTTTTCGCGAAAAATCATATGAATCAAATTTGAAATAATAAGTCAGAAACAAATGAATATTAAATTACAGTTATTCTTAAACAAGACAGGCTATATACACCTTTGAATCAGCGATCAAGCCAATTTAATGACCAAAACGTTAAAAAACCAGAAGCATTCACAAACTTAAAAGCCAAGAAATAGACAAAAGCAAAATAATGCATAAATATAAGTATACTTTAACAGATATATCTGACTAAATTAAAGATAAACTATTGAACTAATCTAGCTGTCCACTCTAGACAGCTGCATTTCTCGCAAACTGTTCATAGATAAAAAAGTGATCTCTATGCATCGGCAGCGTCTAGAAAGAAAATTATATAGAGACGAAGGTAGTCGATCTCTTTACTGTGTCAGTTTCCATCCAGTTTCTTTAACGATTTAGGTTACTTTGCATCGTTCTTAGTAACATAATATTAAAATCTGCTAATCTTATTCACATTTCTGAATAACATAAAAATGTCGAACAGAAGAAGAACGATAAATACAGGTGCTGCTTGTCAAATGTGTTCTTTCAAGGTAAATTCTATTTATTTTTTCCAGGTTTTGATGCTTTTCTATGATATTCTTAGAAAAAAGAGGCAGACGACGAAAACTGGCTTGAAAAGAGACAAAAAAGAGGATTACACAAAATAAGATGAATCCGATGTCAGATAGTCTACTCCTCGGACAGTTCCCGGTCACGTTTCATGGACTTTTTCCTTCTTTTAACAATATCTCAGCTTGGAGTTTTTGTTTCATTAATACGTTTGCTCGTCCCTTCCGACAGAAAGAAAAAAGTCAAAACAAACTGCACGAACGATAAATGAGCCAAAATATATTTGAAATTTAAAAGAGATATGGCAGAATATTGTCATTTTCATCGAACAGGTATCAACATGCACGGCCACAGTCGTATAGACCGATACGATCCTAGATCAGCAATATGAGGAATAACAGCAATAATAACAACATTTCATTATTCATTCGGTCACTGTTGATTTATTATAGTTATTTTGTTTAGCTTAAATTAAAAATATATATCTGCAGTATTTTCTATCTGTACTAGTAATCTATCAATGACTTAACCGATCGGTCAGTTCGAAATGGCATATACATGATCAAAAAGTAGATCTAGTTCTGTCGATCGTAATGGCATGTTCGAAAATTTCAAATCAGTCGAATCGTATTTTTACCGGTAGGTCAAGAGAATTTGAGAAAAAGTGATCCTTTATACGGTGTATGCACAGTTCTTCAGCATCATCAGACGTAAACTACTTGACAAGCGAATAGAATGCATCTCCTCTCAGAGTGAGAAGGTTCACCGGTACGGCTGAAAGATCAAGCAGCGAAGATCGAGATCGTTTATGGATTTGGAACATGATCACGAAGGATAAAACAGTTGATGAAGATCTAATGAAAGGAACGACCGCGATCTGTCAGGAGGAAGGATAACCACGAGACATGTTCGCCACGCTTTTCGTCTTAGTTCAGCTTGTTACTGAACGGTTTTGATAGAGAAGGAAGAAAAGATATTTTCATACATGTGAAATGCATAGGACACATGACAAGTGAGACGGAGTTCTTCCTCAGTTTCAAAACCAGCTGTGCAACTGTTGGCAGGGCATAGACAGATATTGTTATATTTTCTATCGGCACGCCTAAAAGCCGGAGTAACGATTTCACAGTACAAATTGTGTCAAGGAATTCCTCAAGAACTTACTGAGATGATTTGACTGAAGCAGATAAACGAGAACCAATGCTGTCCACAAATGGAATTATTATTTTCATATGACTTTCGAAATCTATATTTTTATATGGTACATATTTTCCTTTACCAATTCCACTTGCCTTGTGAATTTTCATTCCATTTGCATCATACACAATACTTCTAACTATCGTAACATTTGGAATATTTGATGCACCAAGGACACCTGAAAGTAAAACATATAGACAAATAGTTTACTATCTAAAACTGCTGTTGAGGTAACCATTACGTCCTTCATCATCAATTATTTGTGCCACTGCTACTTTTGCGTCTTTAATTCCACCTGCATATTCAAATCCTTCTTTTATATCAACTGCGTTTTGTATATCATGTCCGTTACTTTCCCATGCACGTAAACGAGATTTCGATACACCCATTATACGATCACATATATCCTTTCCTTTTTGGACTTAACTGTAGTCCCTGCACAGTAATTCTATACCCAACTAAACCCGAAAATTTCGATTATGCCGATGTACAGCAGCGCAAAGTGTCACAACAATTACCTTATCACAAATGATACGTTCAGCTTCAGCCGTTGAATGCGACGAAAAGTTACTGGCATTATCCGTTCTTTTGTGTAGTTTCATTATATGTGGATGATCGTCTTTGAATTGCTCAGGATTAATGCACCAGCACTAAGAGAATCCAGATCGGTTTGGTTCGCATGAGTGAGAGTTACTACATACGAAGCTGCACGAAATGCAGTAGTTGTCGCAGTTGTTGTTGTTTTAACTGAAGAATTGTCTTTCCAAACGAAGGATCCCACTAATAAAGACATACCGCGCTTTCCGAAATAATCTTTTTGTGGTTCACGATACTTTTGTGGTAAAATTTTCTGGCCCCAATCGAACGTGCTGTACGCCGTATCATTGGATAAATTCTGAATAATTTCAGTTTTTTCAGCATCTTGGCAAACCCCACGCATTGCATGACGTAACCATTCAATTATATGTTCTCGTGAATTTTCAAAATCGTACACGGCTTCTGTTCTCATTTCTCGATCATTTATCTGAGTAAAACAAAAAGTATTTAGCTTTAGCATTTAGAATAAATATATTTGAAATAAATATATTCGATTTGAATCGATAATTTACTTAAAACGAATCAGTTTAACCTGAGCAGTCTGACAATTT